ATTAAAAGGTATGAGTGAAAATTAACCTAGAATTTTTTTTTTGTCAAAAAAGAAAAGTAATTACCTTTATAGACAGTCCCATAGCCACCATCACCAAGTTCTTTTGATCGATCAAAGCCATTGGTAGCCTCCACAAGCTCTTCATAAGAGAATAAGGGTGTCTGGCAATGAAAGCTTATTGTTTCAGAATCTTTCTTCGAAAATGATGAAGAGAAATCTTGGACGATAGCAGTGGAGGGAGTCAAGGATTTCGAGTACTTCTTCTTTAACTTGTACTTGTAGCAGAAGAAGAAGATTGTGCATGCTAAGAGGAAGCCTCCCACTCCGCTAACGACACCTGAGGACGATGACAATGTCGAAAACTGAACATTTCAATCAAAGGCGCATTTCTTGAACAAGAGGAGTAGACAACAGATACTGAAATAGCGAGAACTTGAATATATATATATGAATCTGCTAAAAAATGTGATTGTTCGTATAATGTAGCAATTATAGCAAGAAGCTAGTCTCTTGTAGTACAAATATGCTAGATTTTACTGTTTATGTTTGCTATGTAGTGATTCAACAAAATGAATATTACTGCGATTTCCATCTTTACCAAAAAAAATTAGTTAATGGGGGTATCCACACAATGTCATTGCCTCATAAATATTGCATTATCAAGATACTGGACATGTTTATTTATCGCTTTCTAGTGATATATATAAATCTATGTTTATTCGCAAAATGTGGAGTTGAAGCAAATGTTTATTTATCGCTTTCTAGTGATATATATAAATCTATGTTTATTCGCAAAATGTGGAGTTGAAGCAAATGACCATAATAATTCTGATGATTCAATATATAAATCTATGTTTATTCGCAAAATGTGGAGTTGAAGCAAATGACCATAATAATTCTGATGATTCAATACAACATACATTAAACTGAATTTTCGACAAAAAAAAAATAGAGATCATGTCCCATATTTCTACGTAATAAGACTATAGGTTTTTATGGCCAAATATTACCCTCACATCAAAAGGTTTGATATTACATAAATTGGAGTAATACTTGATGAACTGAGGAAGGATTATCACCTGCAATTATCCATTTGCTACGTGAATTATGTTGGCTTTAATAGGATCGGCCTAAGCTTCTTAACTTGCAAACACAAGGGAGATTTTGGACTAAAGTGGCCGAAATCTTAATGATGGAGAGACTGCAGGACAGAAAACAAAACCTGCACTTGTTTACAAAACAAAGTGGCCGAAATCTTAATGATGGAGAGACTGCAGGACAGAAAACAAAACCTGCACTTGTTTACAAAACAAAACCGGAACCTGGGAGGTTTTCTTTGGGACCGAACAACAGCAAACACTAGTAAATAAGAAGAAAAAGTGAACTAATTACCAGGGCAAGAACCGGTGAAAGTCCCGTTAGCGCAAAAACAATCCCGATCACGACTTCCACAATACCCACCCGACCTCTGGCACCCCTCGCACCACCCCTCCCCCGCCGTCCACGTCGCGTAGAACCCCTGCCGCAGAGCCTGTGCGAACGCCTGATCCCCGTCGTTCGCCAAAGTCAGGAGCTACACCCTCCCAGCACGACGTCCTCTGTGTCGTTATTGAGACGATAGTCCGCTGTGTCGTTATTGAGACGATAGTAAGAATTTTGACCGGCCGAGCAGGTGATGTTGAAGGTACTGGAGATGGGGCGGGAGACGGAGGAGGAGGAGCAGTTGATGAAGACGGTGATGTTGCGGTCGTCGCCGGTGTAGCGGAAGAGGGAGGGGTCGAGGTCGAGGGCGGAGTTGGCCGAGGAGGGCTGGGGGCAGAGTTGGTCGAGGAAGGCGGGGTCGACGAGGGTGAGAACGCGGTTGGGGGCGTCGAGGGAGAGGACTTGGTAGGTTTTCTTGGAGATGGATAGGGTGAGGGTGTTGGAGGGGGAGCACGAGAGGGCGTAGTCGGGGAGGCCGCAGGAGTCGGGGCGGAGGGAGCCGGGGAGGAGGAAGGGGTAGGAGACGGTCACGGTGGTGGAGTGGGGGGCGCATTCAGAGTGCTGAGAGGAGGCGGAGGGGGAGGTGAGGGTGAGGAGTATGAGGAGGAGGAGGAGAGGGACGAGTAGGGGGAGGTGATGATGGAGTTGCATTCTTCTGAACTTACTGAGGCGGAGGAGTTCTGCTTGTTCGCTTCATTAGCTTTTTGACCTGGACCAAACTAATTTTTCTGTCGCTGTTGTTGGCAGCGTTCAACTTTAGAGATGAGACACAGAGAATACTTTGAGTAGGACGAAACAAGGAGATGGCGGACTATTGAATGATTCACTTGCGGTGTCATGTCCTAAGATGCAATTACGCGGATAACCCTCCATAGATTACATGGTCAGCCCTAATGAAAGAAGGAAAATGATAATTGTACTATAGTTGTGCTATTACTGTACTCCTAAACAAAAAGAAGAAGTTGTTGTGCTTCGAGGAACCAAACCAAAACGTCGAGATAGAAGGCTAAACAATCCAAGATAACGGTACAAACACAAACAACTAATTTTTTTTACGTGGTTCGACTAGTTGCCTACGTCCACAAGGTGAAAAGGTGACGTGTTTTTACTAATAAAGAAGAAGAGTACAAACTGAGATTACAAATCACTCAAAATAACCACCTAATCTCACCAACAAATCTCTAATTCTCTCTAAAATAAAACCCTAACCAATAGCTCAAAAAAATATCTCTTTTCTATGCTCCAAATATCCTCTAATCAATGCTTAATCAAAGCCCAATCAAAGCCAAAGAAACCCTAAAAATGTGTCTCTATTTATAACAACTTAATCAAAGCCCAATCAAAGCCAAAGAAACCCTAAAAATGTGTCTCTATTTATAACAAAACACAATCCCAAACAGATTGGGATTCTAAAGAAACCCTAAAAATGTGTCTCTATTTATAACAAAACACAATCCCAAACAGATTGGGATTCTAAAAAATGAGTCTGTCATACCCGGGGGTGGCAGACACCACACCTCTGAAAACAGGACAGATTCTGTCATACCTGGGTATAGCAGACACCACACCCATATTAACAGGGACAAATTCTGCCACCTCGGTGTGACAAACACCACACTAGGAAGTGATGGAGTTTGTCTTGCTTATTTTTCACGTTTTTCTTAAATTCCTTCGCCGTTTTCACAATTCTCCACCTCGGCGAAGTTTTCCCAAAACTGAGTCGACACCAACCAAATCAAACGTCGCACTTGTTGCGTCCAGTACGAAGTGAAACAAAACCACGACAACAGACTCAATCCACAACAAGTCAAGAACCCAAAAAAGAATGCGAACGAACTTCAAATGTCGGTATCAACTCACCAAATCGGCTGCATCATAAATGACTGACTACGTATCATCTTGCCCAAGGAATCAAGCCTTCACGTAGTTCACCCAACAGCCTCCAAATGCCCTCAATCAACTAGAAGAGTTCACAACCCTTCTCCAACATCATCAACAAATATGCGGCTGATAGCTCTCTAAATGGCCCCAAAGTGAAACAATCTAAACACCTCCACCTAAGGTGAACAAACGGCCATAACCAAATGCGAACTATGTCCATCAGCTACACTTGAATCAACTAATCCAAATGATCCCAAATTGTGTCACCTCAGCTGGAATCCCAAACGATGCAGTATGATCTGGAGTATGTGAAATAATCTGCACCCAACATGGAGTAGCATCACTCTCCACCAGCTATGATATCTCAATGATCTGATCAACACTCTCCACCTACTGAGAGTCGAATGTGACATACATATTCAGAACAAAATCAGAGTCTCCCAACTGATAACCAAACGAGCCTATGAATCCCAAATGTGCAATTGGATCAAATCTCACATCCTCGATATGACCAAATACTGGGAAACCAAACATCCGATGCAACCCAAAATCTAAAACAGCTCCACCAGATCTAAAATCTCCAAACGCAATAGTAGGCAACCTATGAACAAGATGACCCAAGTATGTCAAAGCCCGAACACCAAAACCAATGCTCGACATCAAATGTCGATCCTCCTCCAGAAAGGAACGACCAATCAAAAATATCATCTCATCTCATTGTCCCCATGTTTCCTCTCCAATGAAGTATCTCCAACTGCCATGAGCTCGGCACAAATGCAAGAAATGACCCCTACCAGAACTAGAACAACGAGTTACATTTTTGCCAATACACTTCCTCCATCTGTTGTTGACTTCTAGGACTTCATACCACCGAGATTTGGTTGCAACCCATAAATACCTAGAATAATCACCAACTACGGAAACCAAATATTGATTACCTCCCAATGATGCTTCCTTGGAAAGCCCCCAAATACCTGAATGAACACCACCTAAAAGACCCATCGATCGATGGATAGAAGTGTCAAACTCCACCTCGGTCTTCTTGCTCATCCCAATGTGCTCAAAGGACTTCAATCTACAGGTCAAAGCACTCCTCAACAATCCATGCACGGTACCAATACACAAATATCACAGCCTCAACGAACGTCACAGTCTAGCTAAATCCAAAGAAGTCGTCAGCTCTCTACCAAACACTGTGCTCCCAATCAAATAATATAAATTCTTCCTCCTGACGCCCTTCATCACAATCATGGACCCAAATATAACCTTCAGAGATGCATCCTCCAAGGTCACCTTATAGTCTGTTGCCTCTAAAACTCCAAGTAAAATGATATTCTTCTTCAACTGAGGAATGAACTTTATTTCATTCAACTCCCGAATCACCCTATCACATATTCTAATCCGAATGGTACCAATACCACCAATAGGGCATTCATGATCATTACCCATGAGCACGGCATCTCCTCTTTCCAACTTCTGAAAGTTAGAGAACCAATCCCTCTTAGGGTAAATGTGATATGAAGCACCCGAATCCAACATCCACTTTACAGAGTTGGTAACATAAACTGACGGTATTGCAGATAACGAGTAGCCCAAAGAATCCGAATCTGAATTGTCACCACTAGCATTGGTAACATTCACATCTGAAGCTTGAGTAGCTTACCCTTTATTCTTCCCGGCTCGATCTGTTAACTTTGGGCATTCGGGTTTTCAATGTCCATCTTTTTTATAAAAGGCACACTGATTCCTTCGAACTTCAGGATGTGCTCCTCTAGACTGTGACCTATTTCGGTTTAGACTCTTTGCTCTTGCGATCAATATCCCCACTATCAGCTCAACTGAAGTCTCCTTATCATTCTTTCGAAGCTGATAATTCACAAGTACAGCGATGACCTCACTATATAAAAGAGATGCCTTCCCATTAATAAGAGTAAAAATGAAGGTCTCATATTCCTCCTCGGGAAAGAAACTCAACAACAACAATACTTTGTTCTCATTTTTAATCATAACAATACTTGGTTCTTGTGACACGTGTACGGTCGAGATGGATTGGGCAGCGGGTGGTCTGGATCGGCAGCATGGGGGTCTGTCTTTGCGTTGGGAACCGGGAAAAACAAGGCGATCTTTGTTTATTTTTGCGCTAAGGTACATAAGGAACTAGATTTTGCAGAGAGGCGTTAATTTACTTCTTTTAATAATAATAATAATCATGGATTAAGATACTAATACAGATATACGGTTCAATAAGCAAAATATATTATCTATAACCATCGAAATTCTACTACATATACATATAAGATGAGTAGAAAGCATATATTGACACTAAATAAATATGACGAAAATAAATAAGATTGAAGATATATAGGATATATAGGGTATGTATTGATGGCTATAGGATATATAAAGTATCTGTTGATGACTGATATCAAACAGTCAATGAGAGAAATTGTTTGGTTAATGGATATCATCTAACCCTCTGAATATCAAATTTGGAAGTGGATTGTTCTTCCCTGCATAAGTAGAAAATCGTAAGAGGGTGGAGTTGGGTTCTTCAATTGTTCCTCCTATGATCAAGTCAGTAAATTTGCTTGAGTTGAGAAGTAACTGGACTATAAAAGTTCTTCTTAAGTACTGTGGGTAGAGATGAACATCTTACCTTTATGTTGAAGATAGTAATCATATTTATAGTGGTAGTAGAGGGGTAAGATGGTAACTTCGACCGAGTATGAGTTGACGACCAAGTTAGCATTTGTTTTTCAAGTGCCGGCTAGCGAGTGGAGGGGTGGTCACTTCCGCATTTAATGTGAAATGACACGAGCGTGCTAACATGATCCGATGTGTCATAAAGACTGATAATAGTAGAGAAATGATGACGCCAATTATGCATTTAAATAACATTTATTGTGAGGTGATCAGCTGTCAATGCACATGAGGGGGCTCGAGGCTAAAGGTAGTCATCGCCTTTCTACTCATCCGGTAGAAGGGCGAGAAGTATTGTCTTTTGATTCACCTTTGCGAGGTGTCAGTGAAACGATTGATCAATGAGTCGACCAAGCCAGGTGTCAACATGTCAAGCTTTTTGGGTCGCACTTGCGGGATGTCGGCATGTCGAGTCGTCTGAGCTGGGTTTTTGGTTATCTTGAAGTGAAGAGTTGGCTCGATTACACATAATACGGGACACTTGTCTGCTATTAATTGGAGATTATTTTTTAACATTAAAACGGCTATAACACTATGTTATACCAAAAAGTATTAAATCTTTGCTCTCCAATGTGTTAAATACTAAGTTAAAATTAATCTTAAAGCTACTGATCACATATTACAATAATTTAACACAGATTGATAAATATATCTTTATTAATTTCTTATTTAAAACTTTTAAGAGATATTCACCTCTATATCAATACCAAATGGGGTATAAATATTTGATATATGATGTATTATTTGGCACTTGAATGTGAATTAATTATGCATAGATATTCATTATCTTTCCTGATATGAATGCATTGAAGATCTATGAAATTTACCAGGCCGGTAGTGTAAATAGTTAAATTAATGTCATATAATTACAGTTGGATGCTAAGATTAATAAAGACAATGTTGCTATTAATAAAGCAAATAGTGTAGAAGGATTTAAGTGAAAAAAAAAGGTATTAGTGACGTGACTTCTATGTAACTCAGGGATTCCCTCCGTTTGCCCGGCGATAATCGGATACGGAGATTGGGTCACCTCACCGCAGGTAACTGTTGTCATTCTATAACCGATCAAATAACAACTTAGGGCCTGTTTGGCTATTTCCAAAAAAAATCGGAAATGGAAATGTCACTCTTGAAAACATTTCAAGTCATTTCAAGACATTTCCAAGGTTTCTTTTTTTTTTTTGTTTGATTCGCAAAGAAAACTCACATTTTCACTACCAACTCACACAAACAAACAAAAAAAGCCTCCATAGTAACAGTGACTAGAGTTCTATTTCTTGTGTTTGTTTGAGAACAAGAAAAAGAAAATGAGAAATCTCTTATTTAAATAATACAGTTTAATCTTCTGAACTATTCAAACAGTTTTTTTACTAATTAAAAATTCTCAGATGGGACATTTCCAAGTGTTTTCAGCCCATTTTGTTGTGAAAACACATTTCTTAAAATATTGAGGTGTCATCCTACGTGGCAGTCCATTTCTCAAAATTTAAAAATAAAACAAACATGCGAAATGGAAATGTCTTGAAAACAAAAACTCATGTGGCACATGGGGGTTTTCTTGAAAGGTGAGGTGGCAACACATTTCCTCTTTTTTTTGAGCAAACAAACAAGCCCTTAACAAAATTGCGTCCACGTCAGCGCTGTTACACGCGGTGAGGTGACCAGAGTCGTTAGGAAACGGGCAAGCGGATGTTACACGCGGGCAGTTCGGGCAAAAAATGGTGACACCCAGTTTGGACCCGAGTCAGGTGGGTCCCAGTAGTAGAGTGCTTAATCGAGTTTTTTTTTCATTTTTCGATTGTTTTTCCTAAAAAAAGAAATTCTTTAACTTTAAGAAAAGCATATTAATCTGAAAAATAAATTTTAAGAAAAGCATATTAAACTGAAAATATTTTTCCTTTTTCAGTTGTTTTTCTAAAAAAAAGAACTTCTTTAATTTTAAGAAAAGCATATCAAACTGAAAAATATTTTTTTTTCATAGAATCAAAAACATTATTTATATACAATTTAGTGTTACAATTTTTTTATCTACATCATCAGTCGAACATACTACATACAACGATAATGTTTTTAATCTCAAACTTTTATTCAAGTGTGGTATTCTATAGAGACAAGTCTTGTACATACAACGATAATGTTTTTAATCTCAAACTTTTATTCAAGTGTGGTATTCTATAGAGACAAGTCTTGCACATATATAATATGAGGAGAAATTCTCAAACTTTTATTCAAGTGTGGTATTCTATAGAGACAAGTCTTGCACATATATAATATGAGGAGAAATTGCAATGAACTTTTTAGAGGTTGCTTGGTTAGTGGATTGTATCTTGATGCATGCTATGAATCTAGAAAATTTCATGTTTAAAATCACAAATTAGGTAAAATTCACATAATTTTATAATAACTTAGAGTTTTAAGCTTGTGAATCTCATTTTTCAACGCAAAAACCACCAAACGCACGGGAACAAACAACAGCTTAGATTAGAATGAGAAAATTTCAGTTAGAATACCATCATTTCTAAATTCTACACACAAAATCTACTAAAGCAAGAATTATATATTAAAAAAAGAAGAAGAAGAAGGTGTTTCTAAATGAACCTATGCAGATATTGAAATAATAGCGAAAATGGCAGATTCTAATCTTGGGCGTGCTAGCTGGCATGAATTTAATTGTACTGTTTGGGTGTTTGGTTCAATTTCTAGAAATTATAGGAAATGTTTTCCACCTAAAATATGATTTCCTTGTATTTCTTAAAAAAATTATAGGAAAAGTTTTGAGAAATCAAAAAGTACCAATTTTCTTGTTTTTTGTACTTTGCTTGTTTGGTTCAAAATAAGAAAATAGCTCATAACTTTATAGAAAATAATAAGATTTGGTAGGTTTTTAATTAAATATGGTATGTGTCAGATTTCTGGTGATTTCCTCTCATTTTGAGAGGAAATTGCTTTTTGTAAAATTTGGTAGGTTTTGATATTTTATAGAAAATATTTCTGTAAATTTTTTGTTGAACCAAACACAATTTACAGAAATCTTTGGAAAACTTTTAATTACAAATTTGCCATTGTCAGATACTTTGAGAAAAGTTTTCTCAAAAAGTGTGCAACCAAACAGCCCCTTACATTATGAAAAAAGGAAATTTGAAGGCTTGTCCTTAAAAAAAATCTAAAATTGAAAAAGTTTAAAAGCTTCGTTTGGATACCATTGTGTTTTTCTTATTGTGTTTTTGTAAAAAAACTATTATATAATATTTAATAATTATTACTTTATTAAAATTTATTTATTAAAAAGTTAACAATATTATAGCGATTATAGTATAGTATAGTATAGTATTATATTATTATTTATTATTAATAATTTTTTTATTATTTTTTATTATTTTATATATATTTTATTATTATTTAGTTATTATATAATACATTATTAACATATTAAATACTGGTATTAAATATGTTATTATATTATTATATAAGATATTTTATTTATTATATTTTTATATTATTTAATATATATTACTAATATATTAAATTAACTATAATATAGCATAGTATAATATAATATAATAAGCATGTTGATAACTCTATATTAATTACATTTAATATAATATATTAGATATTATATTAACTTATTCTCAAACTCAAAACCAAAACACCAAATTTAAAACACCTAAAAAGTATTTTGAAATAAGTGTTATATTTTTAGTTTGAGTATGATTTAGCTCAAAAAACACCATGGTTTCCAAACGCATGACGTTTTGTTTTTTGGCAAAAACACCATGGAAACAAGTAAAACACCATGGTATCCAAACTGAGCCTAAAAGAATGGTGGAGTTGATTCGGATGGGCTATCGAGGTTGAGACGTTTGTTTAAACGCCGTTGCTTTTTGGTTCAACGGCTCCCCCACGGGAAAGCAGATTAGATAGATATAGATGGATAACAAGGATAGGGTTTGTTTTCAAGTATTAAATTCTCAATTAATGCCTTCCAATTTAGAAATTCTTTATAGGTGCCCAAGCTTTTATTCCAACTAATGAGATCCTCGCATTTCATGGGTCCACTTTGGGCTTTAATATGGCCCATAAGTAGGCCCATAAGTAGACCTACTTATGTTCTTAAGTTAAGGGCAGTAGGTCCGTGTCCAAGAATAAAATAGACTGAAAAGTAATATGTAGATTTTCCTAGGTTCTCAAATTTTCACGTAGTTTAGAGTTTTTAGAGCATGAATTAAACTAGTTTACAATTCCTATTCAATTTTGCTGAAAGGGATTAATATTGAGATCTACATTGGTCGGAAATTATTACAAATTTTGTACTACTACTATTTATTTTAATACAATGCTACCACTATGACTTCCCCTTTTTCTTGCTTATAATTTTTGAGCATGCGGCTCATACACGTGCAAAGAAACCTTTTATTTCCTTAGTGAGTATCTTTGACTGAACTACTTCAGTAATACAAGAATTTGACGGCAATTAGTCCCATAATGGTGTAATTATTTATGCGAACTAATCCCGTTATGATTAATAAGACCATTCAAAACAACTTGAAAACTATTTTTTTTAATAAAATTTTTCTAGTGAATAATGGCGAAACACTTGGCTTGTGCTGTATGTAATACAGTAAAACTTTAGGTCTGAGCTCAGGTTATGCCCATGGATAGTATAATAACCTAATAATAACAAGAAGAAGAGAAAATAAAGAATACAAAGAAATGCACACATGTGTAGCATAATTAGTTTTCAAGGGCATCAACTTTAGTCAATAGCCACAGGGGAGAGAGTAGTACTTTAATAACAAAAAGTATAAGAAAAGGATTCTAAAAGGAGATTAAATAATGGTCAGAGATCAGAATAGAACCACACAAACAAAGTAAGTGAGCAGAAACGCTTAAATAATACAAAAGTTGAAGATAAACATCCAATTTCATGTGACCAAAGAATCATCTATAACAAGAAACAGCCATAATTTACCTTGGTGAACATCATATTTTCTGATGTTGACATCAATCTTCATGGTAGGCAACAACAACAACAAAGGCTTTCTCCCAAATATTTAGAGTCAGTTACATGAATCCTATACTTCCATTCTATTCTGTTATGAGTCATCTCCTGCGTTAAGTTAGTCATAATCATATCCTTCTTAATTGCTTCTAACCAAGTCATTTTAGATCTATCTCTCGCTCTTCTAGACCCATTAACTATAATATTACAACTTTTTCTCGCCCCATTAACTTTAATATTATCACTTTTTCTCACCGTGCACTAAATGGTCTCTGTTGTTCATGACCAACCCATCTTAATCTATTCTCTCTCGTTTTATTCTCAATAGAAGCAAACTCTTTTAGTGTGTACTTACAAGACCATCACAATATTCTCATTTCTGCTACACTCATTTTTAAACATGTTATTTTTTAATTGCCCAATACTCTGGCCCATATAATATAATTGGTCTTATAACCGTCCTATAGAATTTTTCCTTTAGCTTTATTAGTATTCTAAACTTCTATGGTAGACAGAACAAAAATACTGAATTTAGCCATTTTTCTAATTTTAGCCTACTGATTCAATTAGACAGTGAGTGCACATAAACCTAATGCAATATAAACATTAAATATTGAACGTGCAAGCTCTTCCCCGGTGAAAGCATTTACAGATCATAATACTTACCATTGTGGACTGTAATTGAAATATGAACCAAACACAAACTATAGAAAGTGAAAATCAATATGAGATTTTTACATACATAAACCAAAATAACGAAAAAGCAAACTCCTTCCACACGAGCACATAATATGATCAAGATATCATCTCTGTCTTGTAACTATAGATCTTCTCTCATGTCCAGATACACCATTCTGATTGTGAGTCCATGATGAAGCCTTAATCCTCCCTGCTAATAAAGCTGACGCAGCACCGGCACTTATCTTCCTCCTCTTTGCCCCGAGCTGCAGTAGCCTACTTCCAGATGCAGAGCTTGATGATTCTCCAAAGATTGAAGATGCCTTGATCGCAGTTCGCTTGTCTTTCCTGTTCCTCTCAAACTTGGAGGAGAATCTCACACCAGCAGCACTTGCTGCATCCTCTTGAGATGAAGGGAGAAGCCGGATCCCAAGGCCCATCTTTCTTGAAACCTCTTCTTCTTGAGCAACTTTCTTCTTCTGACCCTGAGGAGATCAACACGCACACATATATACTTAGGACCCTCGCTATCATAATTTTCCATCCATAAGGTTATGATACCAATTAGCCTTTAGCAGAAAGTCTTGACTAGATGAGGATTTAAAAGATTTACTCTATTGCGCCAACAATTGATATATTATGTAGATGTGTAGAGGAACAAATAACTATTCGCCAGAAGGATTTACAGAAAGAGGACGTTATTATGTGAACCACGAAGCTAATTTGTAGACAATGTAGTAAATCTCTGTTCCTCTTTAATAGACACAATATAATTTGTTTCTTTCTTAAAACCAAAGTTCGAAGATCTGAGATATATGCATCGTATCATTTCTATGCTTCTAACTTTAAACCCGTAGGAACCACTACACTGTTTTCCTGTAGAAGCATTTTAAAAATCCTCCAAGATCATGGGAGCAAGCAGCAACAAAGCCTCCACACTTCCATGCAAAGAAAGCTAATGTGACACCCACCATTTACTTTCTAGACGAATTATCCTAAAAGTTCCCTACGTTTCACAATCCTTTGCAAAAACAACCTAAATCTGATGTCTATCACCAAACCAAAATTAATTCTACTTCCAACCTTTACTATATATACGATAGTAATAATCAGCCTCCTACTAGATAGACATGTACACGCACATAAGAGAATCTGTTTCTCTTACCTGTTGTCTAAAATAAATAGAACTAAATATGCATACAACATTTCAACTCTTCTCTTCACATAATTAAAACTTCAACTCACAAACTACAAGCAAGCCATGCCCCTCCAGTATTCCCTTTTCCAAATTATGGTTTCTACGTAACCTAGGTGCAATAAGCACAAATATAATACTTAATGAATCAGCAAGTTGAAACTCATTATCACCAGAATCTTACCCTTAGGCGAGCACGGAGGGCTCTGTTAAGATTGTAGTCATCAGAATGCCTACTGTCAGAAACTTTTTGGAGGCGAACTAGCACTGGCTCAGCTTCTTTCTTTTTCCGTATATCTTCTTCCTGATGTTCAAGACGGTAGAAGGGATCTGACAGCTTGGCTCTGTCTTCATCTGCTGGAAAGGCAAATGTTTCGGCATCTTCGACATCAAAATCCTCTGTCTTCTGCTGTGCTCCACTGATAATCACATACTGGCAATTTTTTGGGTCTGTCTGTATGACTATTACATGCTGACAACATGCCGACTTCATTGTGAAACTCCATATCTAAATGTACAGAAACATTAAGATTATGTTAAACATCAAGGAGCAAAGAAGAGAAGAACAAACATCCAAAAAACAATTTAATAGCACCAAAAATTTTTCCTACCACAAATTTTTTAATCTACAAGCAGGTGCACAATAATAGACAGCAAATCATATATACCTAGATATATAATAAATTAGACAGAGAATTTATCACATGTAAAGGGTTGTTTTATGGAAAGCTCATCCACGAGCACCAACCAATTTGGAAGAGCAAGGTGACGGGTCGAATTAAAAATGATATAGGAAATAGACAAACTTTGATTTGTATGTACGATTATATAGGAGAATTAGATATCTTTATCGTGTTAGATCTTTCAGGTAACTAGTCATTGAAATGCTTCAGAATGGATACTGCAATGAGATTTTGACTACATTCAAGCCTGTGAAATGGGAAATAAAATCCAGATACCAAACTAGAAGCATGTTAAAGGTTAAGTAACTTAATAAAACATACTCCAAATCTGGAAGCAGAGGGCATACAATATGCATATCTATTATCCTAAAAAATAAAAAATAAAAAAAATCAGGTTTTTATAATACAGGACATAGTTGGTAAGGACAAGATTTATCTAATTAATGTTTGCCATTAAATCTACTAATCGTATAACTACAGGCATCCAATTCACCTCCAAACTTTTATGTCTAGAAATTCTGAATATCAATCATAAATAAAGATGCAAGTAAATCATGTATGAGCCTTAGATAAAACTAAGTTTCTTAGCTTCAAATTGGCCAAAACAATGTGAATCAAATAAAGAATCTTATTGAATCCAATAACAATGTGAATCAAATAAAGAATCTTATTGAATCCAATAACAATGTGAATCAAATAAAGAATCTTATTGAATCCAATAACAATGTGAATCAAATAAAGAATCTTATTGAATCCAATAACAATGTGAATCAAATAAAGAATCTTATTATTTTGTAAACAACCAGTGTTATATATATCGGCTGGGGCTCTGCGCGCGTTCCATCCTTTTTCTTAAAACAATAAATAAATAAAGAATCTTATTGCTCAAAAGAACTTCCATAGCTCATACAATCCACTGGACATGATGAAAAGGTGGACCTCAAGTATACTCCTGATCAAATTATGACTGATATCAAATTGACTTGACTAACTATAACAAATAAACGTATCCATGAACAAACAAATAGCAAGTAGATATTTCAACTCAAGATTGAAAAGAGTGGCAACATTGAAAACTACTAGAACAATTAATTCTACTACACTCATCACTAGGCTAACAATATAATACTTGATTTCAAAAATTCCTATCAGTTAGAAACTACACACAAGAAGAATCTGAATCATAAAGTCAACTCAAGCTGACAAAAAAATATATATCCAGTGTATTGAGACGGATTTTTATGACTCTTTTATAAACTCTACAAATTGAAAGCAAGATATATATATCCAGTGTATTGAGACGGATTTTTATGACTCTTTTATAAACTCTACAAATTGAAAGCAAGATCTTCATTCTTCATACCTTTGTGGAATAATAATTTCCCACTTGCTTTTTCTCCGCATTGAACCTCACACCCTTGGCAATCATGGAATTGCATCCGCCACACCATATATTGTAAGGCATCTCGAATCTAGAAAGCCCAAAGCAAACCATGCAATTAAAAAGAGGGAAATGTGAAGGTAGAGGCAAAAAAAGAAGATATCATAAGTTTTTCACAGGTAACCACTTAACAATATTGATTCTCTCATCTGTGAGTTTAAGTGCGGAACTTGACACGCTAGTGCCAGCAGCTTTATCAACTGTATATAGCACTAGCAGCTTTATCAACTGTATCGGAACTTGACACGCTAGTGCCAGCAGCTTTATCAACTGTATATAGCACTAGCAGCTTTATCAACTGTATATAGCACTAACATAGCAATTTAACAAATATCAGAGAGAAGTTTTCTCACATGTTTGCTCACACAACTTGAGCTCATCTCTCAATGTGGTTTGGGGGGCTTTATTTTTTGCGATGGGGGGGAGGGGTTGGGGCGTGTTGGGTGGGTTTGAAGGATGATGCTGGTTTCCACCTATTTACCTTAAGTGACAATAAAAAGCTGCAACCATGATCGCAGTGATTATGCACTATTAAAAAAATATGCGCACATCATAGATCATTTGATCAGAAAATTTTTCATGGATCTAGCAATGACATTTGCTCTAATATGCGAGAAGCTATCACAGAGGAACAGCCTTCTGAACCAAAATCTAGCTAATGGAGATTCAAGAAACATGCATTTTACAAGCTCAAGAATGATGCACTAGGTATAGAGCACTATTGTAAAAGCCCTGATAAGCCCCCTTCTAGCCGAAATGGTCTATTGGGTGATTCACCCTACATTTAAAAAGCCCTTGTCTCACAAACTTGAAGTTCAGCTTCAGCCTGTTCAAAGGCTTTAACTCAGATTTAGGAAGTATTTTTTTTAATTTTATTTTAAACTTCTCCTTTAGGGAAAAGCCTATAGCGGATGAATTTATCTCCTGCATGAATCTCGACAAAAAAAATGTTATGAAGTTACTTTAAAGGGGTCTTTTAACATCTTCTATCTTTCTTACAATATTTCTATTTATAGTTTATGCCATGTTATCTTTCTCCTTTTTTTTTGAAAATTTTCTATGCCATTTCTTTTTTACTTCTATGTTCTATGGTCTTCCTCTTCATAATAGTTATTGGAAGTACTTAACTTTATTCATTTATTCACTTCTTCTTCCAGTCCGTGTTATATGCTCAACGCTACTAGAGCTATATTCATGATGATCTCCATTCCATAATTTTTGGGTGTCTGATTATTGTATATTTGTATCTTGAAAGCTAACCTGCTGAAAACACTTCTGGAAAAAGCAAAAACTTCATCTTTATGATATTGATGATAATGATTAAAACTAATTCTATCCAACCTCAAATCCATGAGCCCCTTCTTAAATTGTGTTACGTCAAATGTTCATGCAATATGTACATGGTGCAATTCTATGTTTCTATGTGATATAAGACAAACGTAAAATTATGTAATGAATCCTCCTCATTCTATTTAAAATGAAGCTACACAACTTCTTATTGATTTCTGTCCTATGAGTTCAAAGCATAGCACATCTATCTTAGCTTTCTCATTTGTGTTGCATTCATTTATGAACATCTTCCGTAACTGCCCAGCTGTAAAAACATCTTATAATGCCTTTCAACTTTATGGGTACGTTTTCATAGGAAAGTTTTTTTAGGTAAGTTTGACAAGATAGTTATCTCTACCATCTATTTTGATTCTATGGGCAACATACTTTTCAATCTGAATGATTAAGTTGGGAAATGATTATATCAGGCATTTCTTGGACAAGAATATGGTAAAATTATGATTATACCTTTGTTCTTCTAAAAGCTTTGTAAATTACACCTACTACATTTCTGTTTTAGACAGTTAATAACAAATTCTTTAGATTCTAAAGCTTCCTCATCTTTCAACTTCATTAAGCAACCTGAATCGTGTGAAGTCATTAGTTGTAACCAATTTATTCTAACTATAGTTGAGAATTTTTTTTAAGATAAAAGTTGCAAACTAGGATTTATATGAAATTACATGACTACTACGAGCAATGCTGATTAGATGTAGAAGGATTTAAAGGATGGCACCAACCACTGAGTAGTCGAACTCGGCTGGTGGACATGTTTGCAGTCCAAAATTATAAGGTGAAGTATGCTCATAATGCATTATGGGCACTCATGCCTATTATATCTGCATTGCATGCAAGTCAGAGTGTATGTCACAAAATGGCCTCTTTTTCACGTAATAACCAACATTAATATTTCACAAAAAAAGACCTGAATGAAATTACCCCGGAGTGGATGTGACTGAGTGTTTGTTTGCACATTAACCATCATAGAATTTCCCCAAATAAATCCAAAGGATAGTTGGGTTTCAAGAAAACATTTACCTTATAATTAGAATGCCCTGATCTAGCTTCCTTGCTCTCTCCCTCAAAGCATGTTGACCGTGAAATTTGTTCAAACCACCCTGGGAAAAGTGGAAGAGATATGTAATGCAAAATTATCAGTCAAAACCCACATGAAAATAATTATTCATCGCATGAGAACAAATCAACTTCCTCAAACTCCATAACCAATTCAACGAACCCGAATCAAATCAAGACCTACCTTCTTTGGTTCCCATTCAGGTGGATAATAGAAGTTATCTTCCCTGGCAGCTGCAAGAGAAGACTGCAAAAAGAATATTGCAAGTTAGTAAAATGCTATACAAATAGCCATTCTCCAAACTTAACAACTTAATTAGAAGCACTCATATTTAAGATGAATATGAATCAATCTGAAGATATCATATAGAAAAGCCGATTGAAAATAAAGGGTAATGCAAGCTTAAAAAAAACTCTCAGAACTTAAAGCAAATTAAAAGCAGCACAAATATTGTCTGTTTTAACTCATATCCCCAATTTTTATCAATCGAAACCCTAAAATTCGAATTACAGGGCTGATACGTAATAAATACACCGAAGCAGTTAGACTCGAGCAGAAAACTTCGAATTTCTGTTTAATTTAGCTACAATCTACAAGCAAACAGTAGGAAAGCACAAGTTTTCGAACAAAATCAAACTCGATGAGAAAAATAACCTAATCACGACAAAATAAGTTTTATGAATAGAAAAGTAACAAGATCGCATCAAATAAAACCCTAGAATCGAAAATCTTACAGAAAATCACAAAAGATTCAGCCTCCGGTGGGGAAACCCTAACCCTAATCTGATGGAAAAAGTAAATAAAAGCAACGATGCTCACCATTTTTCCTCAACAGATCGGTCACAGTTGTCGCTCGATAGAGGAGAAAAAAAAACAAGAGAATTTACTGTTCCGCTTTCTATTTTCTATTTCAATTCAGTTTTGTTCTCTATTTCCCGGGATTTCTATGAGGCAACCGTATTTTACCGGTTCACTAAAATTACCGCCCTTAAGGGAACTTAAGCGCGTGTTTGGCAACTAAAAATTAAATTGAAATTAGAAAGCAAGGGGGTATTTTTTTTTTCGTTTTTATAATTCTAAATGTTATTTGGCAATATGAAAGTACGCAAAGTCGAGCCGGCGGATGATGTGATATCCACTTTATTCATTTATATATGTATTTATTTTATATAAAAATTAGATAATGAAAAATAGATTTTTTTTAAACATTGTCTTCAGGAAAAATTGTGTCGGGCCCCAAAAATAGGAACTTCATGTGACCCAGCCCCTTGTATTTTGGCCCATGTGATTCAGTCCCCAAAAATAGCATTTAATTTTTCAAGGCCCCTCCACGTCAGCGGTACAAATAAAGAGATTGTATTTTGGAAAAAAAACCCAATATTGCCCCTCCACTTATCTTCCCCAGACGCCTCTGGTTCCCAAAAACATGGAAAGTCATGTCCCATTAATGTGATCTGACTGAAAAATGTAGCCCTTTTTTAAACTCTATCACGAGCAATAACTCATGTTAGTCATTAGTTATTTAATGTTAGTTCTAACTTATATCATATTAGTTCTAACTTATTTCATGTTAGTTCTAATGGAAAATAAGAGCTAACTTTAAGTGGAACTAACATTAATACTTTGGCTACTTGGTCTAGTGGTAAAGCTTGGTAATTTTGAGAGGAGGTTAGAAGTTCAAACCCCTACAACTACAATATATATTTAAAGGTCTTTGATTGGGCCTTGGGCCTTGGGGCTCTTTGTTGGTTCTAACTCACTTCATGTTAGTTCTAACTTAACTCACTAAAACTAACACTTAAATTAGAAACAACACTAGTTGCAATTTAGAACTAACACGACATCATATAGAACTAACACGAGAGACACAAGAACTAACAGGGGCTCAACTAGAACTAACATGCCACTAGAAATAACGCTTATATTAGAAATAACACTAGCTGGAAGTTAGAACTAACATAACATCAGCTAGAACTAACACGAGAACCACCAGAACTAACATTGACTCAACTAGAACTAACATAGCCATTAGAACTAACGCTTAAATTAGAAATAACACTAATTGCAATTTAGAACTAACACAACATCAGATAGAACTAACACGAGAGCCACTAGAACTAATATGGGCTCAACTAGAACTAACAGACCATTAGAACTAACATTTATATTAGAAATAACACTAGCTGGAAGTTAGAACTAATATAACATCAGTTAGAACTAACACGAGAACCATCAGAACTAACATGGGCTCAACTAGAACTAACATAGCCACTAGAACTAACGTTTATATTAGAAACAACACTAGCTGGAAGTAGAACCAACATGACATCAGCTAAAACTAACACGAGAACCACCGGAACTAACAGGAGCTCAACTAGAACTAACATTCCACTAGAACTAACGCTTATATTAGAAATAACACTAGCTGGAAGTAAGAACTAACATGACATCAACTAGAACTAACACGAGAACAACTAGAACTAATAGGGGCTCAACTAGAACTAACATACCACTAGAACTAACGCTTATATTAGAAATAACACTAGCTGGAAGTTAGAACTAACATGACATCAACTAGAACTAACACGAGAACAACTAGAACTAACAGGGGCTAAACTAGAACTAACATACCACTAGAACTAACGCTTATATTAGAAATAACACTAGCTGGAAGTTAGAACTAACATGACATCAGCTAGAACTAACACGAGAATCACTAGAACTAACATGGACTCAACTAGAACTAACACACCACTAGAATTAATATTTATATTAGAAATAACACTAGCTAGAAGTTAGAACTAATATGACATCAGTTAGAACTAACACGAGAACAACTAGAACTAACAGGGGCTCAACTAGAACTAACATATCACTAGAACTAACGCTTATATTAGAAATAACACTAGTTGGAAGTTAGAACTAACACGCATAATTCTTTTCTATTATTATTTGATATTGTTGCCTTACGATCTTAGTCCCAGTAAGCGCTTCGGCCACGTCCATAACAAATTAAAGAAAGAACTGATAATAAAATAACAATAACAACAATAAAAGAGGAGAGGAATTCACCTCACCGTTCATTTATAATTCTCGGAAACAATTACAAATAAAATATTTTAAAAAAAATTCCATGACAAAATAATTAATAAAAATTTAAGGTAACAAATTAAAACCTAACGTGCTTGATGCACGGCGGGTCTAAGCCAATCGAGCATTTAATTAACAACCTAGTTAATGATTTGATTAAACTAACTAGCTCTTGACGAAGCCGTCGATGAACTTGGCCCCGGTGTCCCTCAGCCATATGACGTTCCCCAGCCAGTCCTCGATCAGGAAGAGGGACGCCTCCTTCTTGTTGATGGGCTCGTGCTTCTTGACCCACTCAACCCTAGGCCTGGGGTCGCCGTTGGGCCCCTTATTGTTGTCCTCGGTATAATAGCAGGTCTGGTGGAAGTCTGGGCCCAGCCCTCGAGCCTGATCACGTCCCCAATCTCTGACTCCATGACCACCGTCCTCGCCTTCGCCTTCCACGGCTTCCCCAGGACCTGATCATTTTCAGTGGCCATGGCGGAAGTGAGAGAGAAGGAGAAGTTGAGAGATAGAGGGGGAGAGAGAGAGAGAGAGAGAGAGAGAGAGAGAGATGAGATTAATGATGGAGAAATTGAGAAACATGGAAGGCCACAGTAACCGAGTTCAGTCCCATCAAAGGGGCAAATTCGTAACTTCCACTGGGTTTTTTTTTAAAATCCGATACTTTGGGGTCTCGTCACAAATACTGTGTGTATTTGGGGCTTATCCACATGGGGCAAAATACAAAGGGTCTTGTCATATAAAGTTTCTGTTTTTGGGGCCTGAACACATTTTTCCCTTGTCTTTAACATGTATACAATGAAATAGAAATGTATGGTGATTATTGTAAACGATTCTCTTGACCATATTATTTTAAAAAAAATCATGACAGGATACATATAGCTGAAGGGAAGTCTAAGAATATAAATTAATTTTCTTTGCCACATATTAAAAAAAGTTTAATAGATTTCTAATGATGCTACACTATTAGTATATAGTTTCTCATATGCTATCATACAGAACTTTTGAAAAGCCATAAGCTTACTTCAAATCACTATTAGTATATAGTTTCTCATATGCTATCATACAGAACTTTTGAAAAGCCATAAGCTTACTTCAAATCTTATATGCTATCCTACAAAACTTTTCAAAACATACAGAACTTTTGAAAAGCCATAAGCTTACTTCAAATCTTATATGCTATCCTACAAAACTTTTCAAAAGCCATATACTTTTTTTAAAAGGTGATGTTGGATGAAAAACCATGAAATATATTTGATAGAATTGCCCAAAAATGGAGGTTAGATAAGTGCGCCTAGAAGTTTACTTAGAGACGAGTTCAAGGGATTTAAGAAGATTTGAAAAAAAATTTTCAATCTGGACGGTAAAAAAAAGTAAAAAAATAATAATATACTTTTTTTTCTCATCTCTATGTCCACTTTCTCCCTTTTCTAGAGAAAGTGAAATAGGCCAAATAACCACCTAACGTAACACCTTTCACTTTCCAATTACTTTCTGCTAGTGTGCACCCCGTACAAAACACGACCTCTATTTCTTTATTTCCGCTACAATAATTCTGTATTTAAATACAGTTTTTAGTAAGTGCTACAGTAACATTTTTACAATGATACATGATCCCGCCTGAGCTACAGCAATAATACCATAATAATGTTTTTAAATGCTACAGTAATAATACTACAGTAATTTACTATAGTATGAATAGTAAACATTGAATCCTCTTGTCTGTACTACAGTAATAATACCACAGTAATTTACTGTAGCATGAATAGTGAATCTTGGATCCTCCCATTATTATAGAGTAATAAATTCACTTTTCATGTGCTAAACAAGAAAAAAAGTAGAAAGTAGAGTAACTTTGTAATTTTTGTTCTACTTTCTATTTACTTTCATATTGCCAAACATGCCTAAGTGAATTTAGGATAAGTTAAATTAAAAAACTTTTAAATAACATATTAAACTTGTTTGTGAATTTAGTAAGGTTAATCAACGATAACTTATTTCATCCAAGTTTTATAAAGTGAAAGGAAGGCAAGAAATTTATATAGATTTACATAAGTACCCTTGCATGTTATTTCATCTATTTGGATTTCATCTTGATACAAAGGTACATTTGTATTTGTGTAATACTCTCTTTTTTTAAGAGTTGTCTTACCTTCCATTACACCCCAATTTGGAGGAGAATAAAATCTCAAGCCTTTTTTTCCTAATAGTTACTTTATAAAAAAAAATAACTTCCTTCTATTATCTACTTCAAATAAATTTCTAAACAGGGTTAATGTGTCCCCTACATTTCCTTACCTCACATTAATCCCAATCCAAACAAGCTCTATCAGATCGTGTCAAATTCAAAATATGTTCCTCCGAGCCGTATCCGATAAGCATTATAGGATTCATACTCGAGGCGAACCCCCAAAAAGAATTGAATTAGAATTCACTTTCTTAGACTGTCTTTCTTAAATTTGTTTTACAGAATCCATTACATGTTCTCATAACCGCATCTCAATTGTTGAGAATTAATCTTAACAATCAATGGCTGAGTTTCTCACATTCATTTGTGTCATCTTGATGTAGAACACGTAGCAGACACGTTTATGTCAAAGTGGGACAGTTGCAAGCCCAAATGCGGGCCTGGTCGAAGAAAATAACATGTTTCGAAGAAACGATCGTAACTTTCAAACCGTACGTCGGAATTGGACGAATTATATATGAAAATCGACTATCTCGACGAGACGGACCCATCCAAACCGACCCTTTTGAGTTCGGTTTGCGTTCTCAGTTTCGCCAAATTCCTTACGGTTTGAGAGATATTTGCATTTTTGTCCGTTTTTACTATTTTTTAGTAATATTTTAGGAGTCTGTTTTGTTTAGGAAACAAATCCGATTTGATC